GTGTAGGGTTTTTGGAGTCCAATATGACAAGGTTGTTGTGTATGATTTGAGTATAAGAAAGTAAAATGCAACCCGGATGCTGGCTGCTAATGTAGAGTAGATGCAAAACAAAAAAACTCATAGGGACTTCGTACTCACTTACAAAACTTCGGGAAGCCATAACAAGCTTGTGTAGGATTCTTGGAGTCCGATATGACAAGATTGGTGTGTATGACTGAGTATATGAAAGTGAAATGCAACCCTTATCCTGGGTGTTAAAGTAGAGTAGATGTAAAACAAAAAAACTCATAGGGACTTCGTCCTCACATACAAAACTTAGGAAAGCCATAATAAGCTTGTGTAGGGTTTTTGGAGTCCAATATGACAAGATTGGTTTGTATGATTGAGTATAAGAAAGTAAGATGCAACCCGGATCCTGGCAGCTAAAGTAGAGTAGATGCAAAACAAAAAAACTCATAGGGACTTCGTCCTCACATACAAAGCTTAGGAAAGCCATAATAAGCTTGTGTAGGGTTTTTGGAGTCCAATATGACAAGATTGTTGTGTATGATTGAGTATAAGAAAGTGAAATGCAACCCGGATCCTGGATGCTAAAGTAGAGTAGATGCAAAACAAAAAAACTCATAGGGACTTCGTCCTCACTTACAAAACTTAGAAAAGCCATAATAGGCTTGTGTAGGGTTTTTGGAGTCCAATATGACAAGATTGTTGTGTATGATTGAGTATAAAAAAGTGAAATGCAACCCGGATCCTGGCTGCTAAAGTAGAGTAGATGCAAAACAAAAAAACTCATAGGGACTTCTTCCTCACTTACAAAACTTAGGAAAGCCATAATAGTCTTGTGTAGGGTTTTTGGAGTCCAATATGACAAGATTGTTGTGTATGATTGAGTATAAGAAAGTGAAATGCAACCCGGATCCTGGATGCTAAAGTAGAGTAGATGCAAAACAAAAAAAAACTCATAGGGACTTCGTCCTCACATAAAAAACTTAGGAAAGCCATAATAAGCTTGTGTAGGGTTTTTGGAGTCCAATATGACAAGATTGGTTTGTATGATTGAGTATAAGAAAGTAAAATGCAACCCGGATCCTGGCAGCTAAAGTAGAGTAGATGCAAAACAAAAAAACTCATAGGGACTTCTTCCTCACATACAAAACTTAGGAAAGCCATAATAAGCTTGTGTAGGGTTTTTGGAGTCCAATATGACAAGATTGTTGTGTATGATTGAGTATAAGAAAGTGAAATGCAACCCGGATCCTGGATGCTAAAGTAGAGTAGATGCAAAACAAAAAAACTCATAGGGACTTCGTCCTCACTTACAAAACTTAGAAAAGCCATAATAGGCTTGTGTAGGGTTTTTGGAGTCCAATATGACAAGATTGTTGTGTATGATTAAGTATAAAAAAGTGAAATGCAACCCGGATCCTAGCTGCTAAAGTAGAGTAGATGCAAAACAAAAAAACTCATAGGGACTTCTTCCTCACTTACAAAACTTAGGAAAGCCATAATAGGCTTGTGTAGGGTTTTTGGAGTCCAATATGACAAGATTGTTGTGTACGATTGAGTATAAGAAAGTGAAATGCAACCCGGATCCTGGATGCTAAAGTAGAGTAGATGCAAAACAAAAAAACTCATAGAGACTTCGTCCTCAGTTACAAAACTTAGGAAAGCCATAATAAGCTTGTGTAGGGTTTTTGGAGTCCAATATGACAAGATTGTTGTGTATGATTTGAGTATAAGAAAGTAAAATGCAACCCGGATACTGGCTGCTAACGTAGAGTAGATGCAAAACAAAAAAACTCATAGGGACTTCGTACTCACTTACAAAACTTCGGGAAGCCATAACAAGCTTGTGTAGGATTCTTGGAGTCCGATATGACAAGATTGGTGTGTATGACTGAGTATATGAAAGAGAAATGCAACCCTTATCCTGGCTGCTAAAGTAGAGTAGATGTAAAACAAAAAAACTCATAGGGACTTCGTCCTCACATACAAAACTTAGGAAAGCCATAATAAGCTTGTGTAGGGTTTTTGGAGTCCAATATGACAAGATTGGTTTGTATGATTGAGTATAAGAAAGTAAGATGCAACCCGGATCCTGGCAGCTAAAGTAGAGTAGATGCAAAACAAAAAAACTCATAGGGACTTCGTCCTCACATACAAAGCTTAGGAAAGCCATAATAAGCTTGTGTAGGGTTTTTGGAGTCCAATATGACAAGATTGGTGTGTATGATTGAGTATAAGAAAGAGAAATGCAACCCGGATCCTGGCTGCTAAAGTAGAGTAGATGCAAAACAAAAAAAAACTCATAGAGACTTCGTCCTCACTTACAAAACTTAGGAAAGCCATAATAAGCTTGTGTAGGGTTTTTGGAGTCCAATATGACAAGATTGTTGTGTATGATTTGAGTATAAGAAAGTAAAATGCAACCCGGATCCTGGCTGCTAAAGTAGAGTAGATGCAAAACAAAAAAATTCATAGGGACTTTGTACTCACTTACAAAACTTGGGGAAGCCATAACAAGCTTGTGTAGGATTCTTGGAGTCCGATATAACAAGATTGGCGTGTATGACTGAGTATATGAAAGAGAAATGCAACCCGGATCCTGGCTGCTAAAGTAGAGTAGATGTAAAACAAAAAAACTCATAGGGACTTCGTCCTTATTGAACCAAGTGAAGAAAAGAATCCATCCGGGTCACTTGGTGTTTTGCCGCTCGGTTATGCCAATCGGTTGCAAACCGATCGGATCCTCATTGTTCTTCTAATCGGTTTGCACGATCGGTTGTAAACTATCTTGTGCTTCTCGTCCGTACAAGCTGTGTCCGTACGATCATCTTTGGGCTGTCCGTACCATTTCAAGTTCACTCGGCCCATTGGGATCTCCAGCCTTCCTAGGCTTATCCAAAGCTTCACCAAGGTTCTAGAAGACTCTCGAATCATCTCAAGAGAGCCGTTACACTCGCAAAAGAGGAAAAGGACAAGGATTGCTTTATTTGCTTTATGACGCGTCTTCCTTGTTCTTGACCGTTGTACATATAGCATATCCCAAGGGATATTCCCTTTGTATAGCCCTTAAAAGGGAACCTTGTACTAAGCCATTTTTAGTAAGAAACAGAAATAATCTTTCCCATCTCTCAAATCTCTTTACTCTCTCTTTTGTTTACACTTTTCCGATCAAGTTCTCACCTTTTCCGATTATCTTCTTGTCCCATCGAAACCTAAAGCTCCATAATCTAACATGGTATCAGAGCCATAAGCTCCATATCCTTCATTCAACCCACCTCATTTACTTCCGCACCAAAACTCTCTCTTTTCTTTGATTTTGTTCGATGAGTTCACTCTATGATGAGATGAGTTCTCTACACTCGAAAATCATTCCGGTTATCCTCAAGGGAGGAAACTACTTACTGTGGTCACGAACCACAAGATCTGCCTTGTGTAGTCGGGGACTTTGGAATCATATCTTGAAAGAAGAGGCGCCAAAGGAGACGACTACAAGAGATGGACAAGAAATTGTTCTTGTTGATGAGGGGAAATGGTTCCAAGAAGATCAATCGGTCTTGGTCCTCCTCCGAAACTCGCTTGAGTCCTCAATACTCGAAGCTTACTCCTATTGTGAAACTCCTAAAGAGCTTTGGGATACTCTCTTTAATGTGTTTGGGAACCTCTCCAACTTGAGCCGGGTGTTCGAAGTGAAGAAGGCCATCAACGATCTCTCTCAAGGAGACATGGAGTTCACTCAACATTTCGGCAAGTTTAGGTCTCTTTGGGCGGAGCTCGAGATGCTAAGGCCTAACACCATTGATCCGGCGATCCTCAACGAAAGGCGTGAACAAGACAAGGTCTTTGGTCTCCTTCTCACCTTGAACTCCACCTACAATGATCTCATCAAGCACTTACTCCGAGCCGAGAAGCTACCTAACCTAGAAGAAGTGTGCTCTCAAATCCAAAAGGAGCAAGGATCTCTTGGTCTCTTCGGAAACAAAGGAGAGCTTGCTACAGCCAACAAAGGAGAGCTCACCACCGCCAACAAGGGAAGCTACAAGTCCGAGAACAAGAGAGGCCTAACTTGTGACCATTGCAAAAAGACGGGTCATACCAAGGAGAAGTGTTGGATTCTTCACCCCCATCTCCGACCAAGTAAATGGAAGGATCCTAAAGCTCATCAAGCAAACTGGAGCCAAGAGACTCAAGACATCTCCGGACCCGGACCCTCAACTCAAGCTAATGGTGTTGGAGCGGCAATGACGGCGTCTTCGGAGTTTGTGAAGAAATCGGACCTCGATGCTCTCATTAAGGCTCTTAAGGAGTCATCCGGTAAATCCTATCATGCTATTGCTCATACTCTAAAACCTCTTATTGTTGATTCGGGAGCCTCTCATCACATGATTAGTGATTCTAGGCTAATGAACAATATTGAACCGGCTTTAGGAAACGTGGTAATTACTAATGGGGATAAAATTCCGGTTAAAGGAATAGGTGATTTAGAGCTATTTGATAAGAAGTCTAAAGCCTTTTACATGCCAAATTTTACTTCTAACTTGCTTTCCGTTAAAAGAGCAACGACCGATTTAAATTGTTATGCGATATTTGGACCTAATGATGTTTACTTTCAGGATATTGAATCAAGTAGGGTGCTTGGTCAAGGAGTTACAAAGGATGGTCTTTATGTTCTAGAAGACACAAAGCTATCCGAACCTTTATCTTCTCATTTTAGTTCAAGTATTGTTGTTGCGAATAGTGCTATTTGGCATGCTAGACTAGGTCATCCCCATCCTCGGGCTTTAAGTTTAATGCTACCAAAAGTTTAATTTCAAAGTCTTGATTGTGAAGCTTGTATTCTTGGTAAACATTGCAAAGCTATTTTTCCTAAGTCTTCTACTATTTATGAAAGTTGCTTTGATTTAATTCATTCGGATGTGTGGACTTCACCTTGTTTATCAAGAGAAAACCAAAAATATTTTGTCACATTTATTGATGAAAAATCAAAGTATACTTGGCTTACTCTCCTTCCTTCAAAAGATCGTGTTCTTAAAGCTTTTAAAAACTTCCATACTTATGTGACTAACCAATACAATGCCAAGATTAAGATTTTTAGATCCGACAATGGTGGGGAGTATACAAGCCAAGCATTCAAGGAGCACCTAGCATCACACGGAATCATCCACCAAACAAGTTGCCCTTACACTCCTCAACAAAATGGTGTATCCGAACGCAAGAATCGATACCTAATGGAGATTGCAAGGTCCATAATGTTTCACACCAATGTTCCAAAAAGATTTTGGAGTGATGCTGTGATGACCGCGTGTTACTTGATCAATAGAACACCAACAAAGATTCTACAAGAAAAGTCTCCATTTGAGGTACTCACTAAGACTAAGCCGTCTCTTGATCACTTACGTGTGTTTGGTTGTGTTTGCTATGTCTTAGTTCCCGGAGATCAAAGGAACAAGCTCCAAGCCAAAAGCACTAAGGGAATGTTCATCGGGTATTCAACAACTCAAAAGGGCTATAAATGTTATGTACCGGAGTCAAGGAAAGTATTGGTGTCAAGAGATGTGAAGTTTGTGGAAGACAAGGGATTCTATGACAAGAAGGATTGGGAAAGTCTTAAGGATTTGTCTAGCTCACCATCGGATAGAGCTACTAACCTTCGGATTATTCTTGAGAAGCTTGGAATTGAGAACTACCAACCTTCACAAACTCAAGCTCCACATCCGCCACAAGGACAAGAGACTCAAGAACAAGAAGAAGAAAGTCTTGAGGAAGAAGTCCAAGACACTCAAAATGAAGAGAATGATCCCAACACTCAAGAAGAAGATCATATACCCGATGGTGATGGCTCCAACGAATTGAATCAAGAGGAAGAAGACACTACTCAAGAAGTGACTCAAGAAGTGATACCTTTAAGAAGAAGTGAAAGACTTCGCTTTCATCCCTCAACATGGAAAGACAAGAGAGTCTACTACAATGCCAATGCGGTAGCTCATCTAATTCAAGCCGTATGCACTCTTGCTCACCTACCCGAAGAACATCAAGTCTACCTTAGCAAAGTTGATCAACATTGGATTCCCACAACATTGAAGAAGCCATGCAACATCAAGTGTGGAGAGACGCTATAGAAGCCGAAAGACAAGCCATGATAAACAACCACACATGGGATGAAAAGGATCTACCTAGAGGAAGGAAAGCCGTGACCTCTAAATGGGTATTCACCATCAAGTATAAGAGTGATGGAGAAATTGAGAGGTACAAGGCTAGACTTGTAGCAAGAGGCTTTACTCAAAAATATGGAGAAGACTACCTTGATACTTTCGCCCCGGTGGCCAAACTTCACACGGTTCGAGTGGTTCTTTCATTGGCTACTAACTTGGAATGGGATCTTTGGCAAATGGATGTCAAGAATGCATTCCTTCAAGGAGAATTAGAGGAAGAAGTGTATATGAGACCACCACCGGGTCTAGAAGATAAAGAAGCACCCGGGAAAGTTCTCAAGCTCAACAAAGCAATCTATGGCCTTAAGCAATCTCCGAGAGCTTGGTATCACATGCTTAGCACCACACTTCTAGGGAGAGGATTCAAGAGATCCGAAGCTGACCATACACTCTTCACTCTCCCTAGCCAAGAAGGTATAGTAGTCATTCTCGTTTATGTAGATGATATTATCATCTCCGGGAATGACAAGGTTGGTATTCAAAATACTAAAGATTTCCTTAAAAGTGTCTTTGATATTAAAGATCTTGGAGAACTAAAATACTTTCTTGGGATAGAAGTATGTAGATCAAAGGAGGGTCTCTTCTTATCTCAATGAAAGTATACTCTTGATCTTCTTGATGAAGTAGGTAAGCTTGGCGCTAAACCAACAAAGACTCCCTTGGAAGATGACTACAAAGCTAGACGAAAGGGGGAGCATGATAACAAGCCTTTCGAAGATCCTACCAAGTATCGGAGGCTAGTAGGTAAGCTCATCTATTTAACCATCACTAGGCCTGATATTTGCTTTGCCGTGAATGTAGTGAGCAAACAAATGCAAGCTCCAACTCAACACCATTGGAATATGGTGAACCGCATCCTCAAGTATCTCAAAGGCGCTCCGGGTCAAGGCATTTGGATGGGATGCAATAGGAACACGGAGCTTGTTGGGTATTGTGATGCGGATTACGCCGGAGACAAGAATGATAGAAGATCAACAACCGGCTATTGTACTTTCATTGGTGGAAATCTAGTGACTTGGAGAAGCAAGAAGCAAAAGGTGGTGTCTCTTTCAAGTGCCGAAGCTGAGTACCGGGCCATGAGAAAGCTTACTACGGAGCTAATGTGGCTAAAGGCTCTCCTCAAAGACTTTGGTATAGACACGCCTCAACCAATCACCATGCATTGTGACAACCAAGCCGCCATTCACATAGCAACCAACTCGGTGTTTCATGAGAGAACGAAGCACATTGAAGTCGATTGCCACAAAGTCCGAGAGCAAATCCAACTTGGAGTCATCTTGCCACATTATACCGAAAGTGAAGAACAATTGGCTGACATCTTCACCAAAGGAGCTAGCACCAAGGTGTGTGAATACATTCACCAAAAGTTAGGTCTTGTTGACTTAACTCAGCCACAATCCCCTTAGCCAAATATCCCATACTCTTTTTCCCTAAGTGTGGTTTTATCCCATGAGGTTTTCTACACTTAGGTTTTTAATGAGGTGGTTGAATTTGGATCCAACTCTAACCTCCATCTTTCTTTGGTTAGACTTGAGGGGGAGTATTGAACCAAGTGAAGAAAAGAATCCATCCGGGTCACTTGGTGTTTTGCCGCTCGGTTATGCCAATCGGTTGCAAACCGATCGGAGCCTCATTGTTCTTCCAATCGGTTTGCACGATCGGTTGTAAACTATCTTGTGCTTCTCGTCCGTACAAGCCGTGTCCGTACGATCATCTTTGGGCTGTCCGTACCATTTCAAGTTCACTCGGCCCATTGGGATCTCCAGCCTTCCTAGGCTTATCCAAAGCTTCACCAAGGTTCTAGAAGACTCTCGAATCATCTCAAGAGAGCCGTTACACTCGCAAAAGAGGAAAAGGACAAGGATTGCTTTATTTGCTTTATGACGCGTCTTCCTTGTTCTTGACCGTTGTACACATAGCATATCCTAAGGGATATTCCCTTTGTATAGCCCTTAAAAGGGAACCTTGTACTAAGCCATTTTTAGTAAGAAAGAGAAATAATCTTTCCCATCTCTCAAATCTCTTTACTCTCTCTTTTGTTTACACTTTTCCGATCAAGTTCTCACCTTTTCCGATTATCTTCTTGTCCCATCGAAACCTAAAGCTCCATAATCTAACAGTCCTCACATACAAAACTTAGGAAAGCCATAATAAACTTGTGTAGGGTTTTTGGAGTCCAATATGACGAGATTGGTTTGTATGATTGAGTATAAGAAAGTGAAATGCAACCCAGATCCTGGCTGCTCAAGTAGAGTAGATGCAAAACAAAAAAACTCATAGGGACTTCATCCTCACATACAAAACTTAGGAAAGCCATAATAAGCTTGTGTAGGGTTTTTGGAGTCCAATATGACAAGATTGTTGTGTATGATTTGGGTATAAGAAAGTAAAATGAAACCCGGATCCTGGCTGCTAAAGTAGAGTATATGCAAAACAAAAAAACTCATAGGGACTTCTTCCTCACATACAAAACTTAGGAAAGCCATAATAAGCTTGTGTAGGATTTTTGGAGTCCAATATGACAAGATTGTTGTGTATGATTGACTATAAGAAAGTGAAATGCAACCCGGATCCTGGCTGCTAAAGTAGAGTAGATGCAAAACAAAAAAACTCATAGGGACTTCGTCCTCACTTACAAAACTTAGAAAAGCCATAATAGGCTTGTGTAGGGTTTTTGGAGTCCAATATGACAAGATTGTTGTGTATGATTGAGTATAAAAAAGTGAAATGCAACCCGGATCCTGGCTGCTAAAGTAGAGTAGATGCAAAACAAAAAAACTCATACGGACTTCTTCCTCACATACAAAACTTAGGAAAGCCATAATAGGCTTGTGTAGGGTTTTTGGAGTCCAATATGACAAGATTGTTGTGTATGATTGAGTATAAGAAAGTGAAATGCAACCCGGATCCTGGATGCTAAAGTAGAGTAGATGCAAAACAAAAAAAAACTCATAGGGACTTTGTCCTCACATACAAAACTGAGGAAAGCCATAATAAGCTTGTGTAGGGTTTTTGGAGTCCAATATGACAAGATTGGTTTGTATGATTGAGTATAACAAAGTAAAATGCAACCCGGATCCTGGCAGCTAAAGTAGAGTAGATGCAAAACAAAAAAACTCATAGGGACTTCGTCCTCACATACAAAACTTAGGAAAGCCATAATAAGCTTGTGATATGTCTATAATTTGCATGTTTTATACATCCATTTATCACCATTTTGAGTCTAGTTTCATTCATCTTTCATAGCATTCATCATCATTTTGCACATTTTGCATGTTTAAGTGTGTCTAGCATTAGTCTTGCATGCATTTTGCATTCTGGAGTTGTTTCAGGTGCTTCGGGGCTATTGGTGTTCAGAAAGAGGAAAAACATAGCTGAAAGTCACATTTGGACCATTCTGCTCGATCACCAGTAGCAGAGAGGGAAGTAGTCAGCTCAGCAGACCATCAGGAGTGTTCTGCTCGATCACAGGGCAGTCCATCCTGCCAATTCACAGTTCTGCTCGATCACAGGGCAGTCCATCCTACCAGTTCACAGTTCTACTCGATCACAGAGCAAGAGGAGCAGTCCATCCTGACAGTCTACC